TAATTATTATCATTATATTGTTTGTGAAGTCATTCTTTTAAGCCTCTTAAGAGGCAACAACAAAGCAAATTAGAGAATTTCAAGGTTTACAAAATCCATGATATTGACTTGTATTATTTGGATCAGTTTTGCCTGATAAAGGTTCAGGTTCTTTGCTTTATCTCCAAGTGCTAAAGGACTGCCCTATGTAGATAGATTTCATATCTCTTTCCCATTTCTCTACAACTTATCAATTGTTTTGAAAAATAGCTCTGTGACACATGTATTTGCAATTATATTATCTTTATTGTTTAAAGGTTAGTTGTTTAGAAAATAATATAATAATCAGTCAACATTAGAGGAATGAATTCATTTTGTAAGTTTCTCTAGACCATTCAATGAATTAAGAGAATACAATTAATTTTCAGATTGCATATTAAAGAGTACATCAATTACAAATATAATATGAAAATCAAGTTAGAAAAAAGGAAATAGCTTCTTTCAAATATGATGCCTATATTTGGGTCTCAAATGGTAAAAAAAACTGTAAATGTCACCTTTCTTCAGAGCCATTTGGTCATGGCTTCTAGGCAAAGATGGTAACTCTAACAGTGACCAGGAACAACAGACATGACATTTAATGCAATTCAAGAAAGTAGTTATCATAAATTATCTGAAAAAATTCAGAATAAACATGTTGACTACTCATTGATATAAATTAGGCACTTTCATGTTTGAAACGTGATCAAGATATTATAAATAATAGTGGTCAAATGTTCTGAAAAAACAGTTCACACATGCACTATAAAACATTGCAATAAACTCAGTAATAAATCCTTCCTGCTAGAAAGGAACTTCCTATATGATCACCAAAATATATTTGTATTCCTATTCTCCCTTGATGGAAATTACTAACCGAGTAAGTAGGATAAAATAAATAAGGAGGTAGACTTTGTGAGAAAGAAGCAGTAGCTGCTTCCTTGAGGAATTTAAGAAGGCTGTATGGGAGAATATGAGCAAAAACATTGGGAGTCTTTGGTACTGAGGTAAAGCAGAGCTTCTATGACCTGAATGGAAGAAAATAATTGCCACGAACGAGCTGATAAGTGAATTTAAAATAAAGGACTACTGAAGGTTTAGAGTCAGAGATAGCTCAGGGCAAGGATATTGCATTTTTTGAGCACCTTCTTTACTATTTAGTGAGGTCTTCCTGTGCACAATTTTTTTTTTTTTGAGAAAACGGAGATTCTGCATGTTTACTTTTAGAGCTATGGAGCAGAGAGCCTACATTTAATCGTTATTTTTCTAAACCTCATTTTCTTTCCATTAGAGCAAGCTGTTTCAGTGTCTTGGCAGAATAAACCTAAGGTCTGCTTGTGATATATGTGGATATAATACAGATGTTACAATATATGTATGTATTATGTATACAAATAGTACGTTTGTACATAGGGCTAACGTTTCTATAGTTTATTGGAATGAAGTTAGTATGGATTTGAACCTGATAAGTTAAGATGCCCATGGTAAAACCTAAAGTAGATAGTATAAAAATAACTAAAACAATATAATGAAAAAATCAGTAAATGAATTAATAATGAAAATTTGAAATAAATATGAAAATATTAATTTAATGCTAAAAATCTACAGGGGAGGAATAGAGGCACAAAAAGAAGTAATTAAGAAATTAAAAATAAAATGGAAAATATAACTATATACAATTGGGTAAATGCAAATTACAAACTTGCTATCTTAAAACCTAATGATGGTCCTAGGTATTACATGTTTCTAGATTTAATTGATAACGAAGTCAAGCCAAACTATGACTTTGACTCCATATAAATTCAAGTTCTTTTTCAACATTGTGGCATGTAACTACACTATGCTATCTTACCTCTTAAATTTCTCTAAAGTCTCCACCAACCTTCTAGGTGTAGACCAAATACATCCATACTTCACAGCATACCCTACTTTTGCCACAGGAAATCTGATGTTGCAAGATTTCTGCTATTATAATAAGGGGAGAACACAAGAACAAATGCATTATAGGGATTGGCTTGACAATTTCTCCCGGTTGAGAGGAAGGATAGGTAACATGCAGTGGGGAGAGGAACAGTCTGTTTTTAAAGAAAAGTTAGCAGGCATGTTCTGTCTGTTCTCCTTCAGTCTCCATATCCCTAGTTATTGCAACTGCCTCTCATAATCTACAGAATTAAATCTCTTTACATACCTGGTTATTCTCTTTGTCTGTCACCAGTAAAATATGTAACAGTATATAGTTCCTCACACTACCTCCATGCTTCACTAATACCACGTTCTTGTAGCCTCCTATGATGCTTTTCCTCACCCCTCACTCTGACCCCACTGTCTCCTGAGCATCCCCATATAGCCTTCCAATGTCAGTCAAAAGTCATGTGCAGGAAGGTTTGCCTGAAACATTAGGTCTTGTGCTAGGGTTATTTTCTTGACACTGATGCAAGGTCTCTACTATCCCTCTGTTAAGGATTGTGATCTTCTCTCATACATGTCTGTGCAACTAGACTGCACAACAATGGTAGACATCATGCTGTATTTGATGATATAAACTAGACTCTTCAATGATAGATATCATACTGCATTTGATTATATATTCCTCAATATGTAATTGGCTAGTACAGACTGTAGAGCATAGTAGGCACGCAGCAAATATTTGATGAATTGTACAATTGAACAGTCTATAGCAATAATATTTTTAAAAATAATAATTAATAAATGTTTTCAGTGGAATTTTTCTTCTTTAGTTAGGTATATGATTAGTTACATAGAGGCACTGAAAAAGAGTATTGTGGGAAATAGCCTTTGTTCAGAAAGGAGGACATGCAATATGGCAAATTAAACTCATGCATTTCTGTGTCCTATAACTTGCAAATATGCCAACGGCATTTACAATTTTTGAGAGCATTCATATGAGACAGAACACTACATTGAAATCACGAGACATCAATGCATTCTCACACATCAAAGCTGAGCTATGAAAAGCAGATTACAGTACAGCATGGCTTGTACCCTGTTCCAATGGCAGTCAACAACTTCTGCTTCAGAAATCAGTTACTAACAAATATTGACAACTAAAGAATCGTAAATCTCATTTGTAAAGACAAATTAGTTTTGATCTCATGCTGAAGAGACAGCAAACCTCTATAGTTTAAAAAATGAGTTTGTCAAAATAATAACTATCATCAGATACAAATCTCTGATCAGTGAATGAGGGGCCTGCTTTGGACTGGGGATTTTGATGCACTGACTACAGTGATGTCTCGTGGTTACAGGCACTGTTTGGAATAACCTCTTCTGTTTCCTAGGTCAAAATAATAGTGATAAATTTATTGGTCATTGTGCCTTCTGCTTAGTAGAGACCTTTGCCATGATATATTCTAATTAAAGCAATAAGACTACATACTGATTATTTGGGCAATATAGCTGATCTAGTGTAAGTGTCAGCCTAAAACTTTCTAGTTATGTGAATGTTTACAAATTTCTTCCAGTCTCTGTAGTTTGGTTCCCCCCTATGTTAAATAAGACACATTACTAATACTGAGTCATAGAGCTTTTATGGGGATATATTAAGTTAACTTGTATAAACCCTGAGAATGCTATTGAATAGTAAGCTTTAAAAATGCTAATTATTATTGCAATTAAATATATTTAAAATTTTAATGTGTCATTTCAAATGTCTACAGCTTCATAAAGACTTACATTAAGGCATTTTCTTTTGTGATATCCATTTTCTTGTATTTTTTCTCTTTCCTTCAACATGCTAGCAGTCACCATTGCTGATAATATTAGATAATAAAAAAGAAATAAATATAATTCATTAGAAATGGTTGTTTACACTTGTGGCAAAGAAACCTGCATCCTATATCAGAGTACATGGTTCTGGCTTCCTGCCAAAGCAACCGTGAGACCTGAATTGAGTTCTCAGCTCCCAGCTTTGTCCCAGGCCTCACCATGGCTATTGTGACATTTGGAGAGAAAAACAGCAGATAGAAGCTCTCTCTTTTTCTCTCAATATCTTTAAAACAGAGACATCATGAAATAAGGCCCCTTGGCCAGCACCGTGGCTCAATAGGCTAATCCACCTAGCAGCACTGGCACAGCAGGTTCTAGTCCTGGTCAGGGCGCTGGATTCTGTCCCGGTTGCCCCTCTTCCAGGCCAGCTCTCTGCTGTGGCCAGGGAGTGCAGTGGAAGATGGCCCAAGTGCTTGGGCCCTGCACCCCATGGGAGACCAGGAAAAGCACCTGTTTCCTGCCTTTGCATCAGCGTGGTGCACCGGCCGTAGCGTGCCTGCGCGGAGGCCACTGGAGGGTGAACCAAAGGCAAAAGGAAGACCTTTCTCTCTGTCTCTCTCTCACTGTCCACTCTGCCTGTCAAAAAAATAAAATAAATAAATAAATAAATAAAAAGAAATAAGGCCCCTGGTTTTTGTTTTATAAAGTTAACTCATTATATAGTATAATAAAACATTAATAATTCCTTTATATTGTTGAAGGAGAGATATTTTTGTAGCTACCAAATTGATAGTTAATTTTTTTTCCATTCACCTGATTTTTTTCTTATCCTTAGACGCATGATGATTCTACCTCTGATCTGGCCTGTGCTTGTTGTGGTTGTTTCTAGATGTCTCTCAACCCCCAACCTTTCCCATAGCCACTATTAAAGAATTTTTTACTGCTTGAAAAAGTTTTAATATTCAGCAGGTTAAGGAAACCCATGGTCAGCTTCAGAATTTTAGTCTCTGCTGAGCTTTCAAGGTGTCAAGACCCTAAAATAATATGAACAGCAGGAGTACTAAATCTTTCATTATTTCCAGTTTCCCCTTGAGCATACTGACTTTGCAATAAAGAAGCTGTCATTACACTCTTCTTTATTGCAAGGTGGGTAATAGCTACAGCGAGAGAATAAGGAACTGTGTCAAGTTCGCCTAAGTGCCATTATGATTAATGTGCAATCATTACACATTTGCATCTACTCTTTTCATATGCAGGTACTTCATAGATTGGAAGAGTGATGGGGACAGCTACTTTACAATAGATGGAACTGAAGGAACCATCGCCACTAATGAATTACTGGACAGAGAAAGCACTGCACAGTATAATTTCTCCATAATTGCGAGTAAAGTTAGTAAGTATGGCATGGATGGAATCAATGTTATACTGCAGTTTTGTGGATTTAACACTCTTAAATGAGTCCCTGCTGAGGTGTTTTTCATTTCTGGACTGACAGCTGAGTGCTCTCCTGGGGAAAGTTGGAAACCTGTTCCTTTTCCTCATAGCATAAGTCCAGTGAAATTGTGACAGCTGCCAATGAGCCCTGTTTGCTAGATTGCATAAATACCTGGTAGTGCATTTCATTGTATGACCTACTTCTTTCCATGGTGCACCCTCAAAATTTCTCTGGAGTTCCAGCTTCTGTTTCACACAGGATTCTTGTACATATCATTCAGAGTTTCATAGGCCAGGCAGATGGAAACAATCATATGCTGTCACCATTCTGAGATATTTTCTAAAATGGAATGGAGCATGCCGCTCCTCCGCACGCGGAGGAGCCGCACCGGACCGGGCGCTTGTTGTTCCCTTTTTTTACAAGTCCTTTCTATAGTAAAGTAAGAATAAGTAAACAGCAAACTCCCAAAGCAAGAATGAGTAGAGAGAAATGAGAAAGAACGAAGTAACGAACTTCCCCGCGAACTCTCCAACGCACTCTCCAACCAACCCACGCCACCACGCCGTCTCTCTCCTCCTATATAGTCCTCTCCACCAATCCATGCTCTGCTAACCACACGCCGAGCATGCCGCTCTCCTCCAATCAGGAGCGGCTCTTGCAGCTTATCAAGTTGGTAAGGGGCAGCTGGGTAGAAGCTGTACGCTCCTCTCCCAGCGCCACATTGTGGGAGAGCAGATGCATAGAATAAGTCTTAATTCCAGTAACAGTATAGTCCGAGTTGCTCCCCACAGGAGCATATGTAACAACATCCCTCTTCCTTCTCTATCCTTTCATAGAGTGTACTTTTAATAAGTATTATCATGGAATAGACAGGAGTTTCAAAAACAATTCTTTAAGGAATTGCTCACAATCTGTAAGAACATTAGGAATTATTCCTTATGTTGGTTTCTGCTTGGTCCAGAAGAGATTCCTGTGGACTGAGAGTGATTATAGATCTTATTTGACTGAACAATAAAGAATATTATCACAACTTCCTCATGTAACAGTTTAGGATAAGGGTGACACCATTTGACTATTTTAAAAATTTTTTATTTGACAGGTAGAGTTATAGACAGTGAGAGAGAGACAGAGAAAGGTCTTCCTTCCGTTGGTTCACTCCCCTAATGGCTGCTATGGCCGGCGCTGAGCCGATCCGAAGCCAGGAGCCAGGTGCTTCCTCCTGGTCTCCCATGTGGGTGCAGGGCCCAAGCACTTGGGCCATCCTCTGCTGCCCTCCCGGGCCACAGCAGAGAGCTGGCCTGGAAGAGGAGCAACTGGGACAGAATCCAGAGCCCCAACCGGAACTAGAACCCGGTGTGCCGGCGCCACAGGCGGAGGATTAGTCAAGTGAGCCAAGGAGTCAGCCTTTCTCTTGACTTTTGATATTCTTGTTAATGTACATTCTCTCAGTCCTTGCGCTTATGGTCTCTTAACAGGTTTCAGGAAATCCCTTCAGAAAACCTTCCATTTGTTTTCCTTCTCATCTTGTGCATTTGGTAAATGTTGTGTATCTTGGCAGTGAATTCCATGTTTTAATGCAAGGAATAGCTTGAACATTTCTGTTGAGAGATTTTGATCATTCTCAAAGCAGTAGGAGTACAAATATGAAACAGTTTTATGTTTCTTCAACACCTGCTTCCAAATGTGAAGTCAGACAACTTTTCCCAGATCTTAAGGATGTTGGTAGCCATCCTCATTACTTTTGCATTATTCTGATTATTAAAAGTCCCGGGAGAGTACATATAACCTCATGGTTCAGATGCCCCTCTTCCACACCAGAGTAATTAGGTTTGATTCCCAGCTCCAGTTACTAACTCCAACTTCTTGATAATGCAGAGTTTGGGAGATAACAGGAATGGCTCAAGTAGTTGGTTCCTGCCACTATTTTTGGAGGCCTGGATTGAGTTCCTGGTTCCTGGATCCAGCCCTGCCACCGCCCTGGCATTTGGAGAGTGATTGAGCAGATGGGGCCTCTCATTCTCTCTCTCTGTCTGCAACTCTATTTCTGTCTATGTCTCCACCTCTCAAATGAATACATTTATTCTACCATAAAAGATCTTGTAGCTACTACTTTGTTGCTATGCTTACTCTGTATTGCCAATCAAAATCTGACTACCCTGAAGCTGCTGTACAACAGAGGTCAAATGTTGCTGTTCTGCCTAGCTTTCCAACCGTACCTTCCAGTGTGCTTGATGTACGACTGCCTGGGACCCTAGTCCAGTTCACTTGACACCTGAATGTCACTGTTTAAACTCCATTAGTTCCTTGAAATAGAATATTAACCTACCCAAGCACTGCCCGTATTCTTATTTTTTATTTTTTATTTATTTATTTATTTATTTTGACAGGCAGAGTGGACAGTGAGAGAGAGAGACACAGAGAGACAGGTCTTCCTTTGCTGTTGGTACACCCTCCAATGGCTGCCGCGGCCAGCACACCACACTGATCTGATGGCAGGAGCCAGGTACTTATCCTGGTCTCCCATGGGTTGCAGGGCCCAAGTACTTGGGCCATCCTCCACTGCACTCCCTGGCCACAACAGAGAGTTGGCCTGGAAGAGGGGCAACTGAGACAGAATCCGGCGCCCCGACCGGGACTAGAACCCGGTGTGCCGGCGCTGCAGGCGAAGGATTAGCCTAGTGAGTCGCGGCGCCAGCCCTGCCCGTATTCTTATGTGTAAAATTATAAGACTATGCTTATTTTAAGTAGCTAAAGATTGGGAATATTATTTGTTATACAGGAATAAGTATATGGAGTCCTATAAGAAAACATAAACTGAGAATATTTTTGGTGGGGGTGTAATGGTTATATGTATTCTCAAGTCTGTTGGTATGGAAAGCAAGTCAGGAAATAAAAATGCACAGATCTCTTCTTATTTTATTTTATTATTATTTTTTATTTTTTTGACAGGCAGAGTGGACAGCGAGCGAGAGAGAGACAAAGAGAAAGGTCCTCCTTCTCCGTTGGGTCACCCCCCAATGGCTGCTGCAGCCAGCAGCTGTGGCCGGCGCACCGCGCTGATCTGAAGCCAGGAGCCAGGTGCTTCTCCTGGTCTCCCATGCGGTGCAGGGCCCAAGGACCTGGGCCATCCTCCATGCACTCCTGGGCCACAGCAGAGAGCTGGACAGGAAGAAGAGCGACCAGGACAGAATCTGGCACCCCAACAGGGTCTAGAACCCGGTGTGCCGGTGCCACAGGCAGAGGATTAGCCTATTGAGTCGCAGTGATGGCCACAGATCTCTTCTTTCTATACTCATATTAGTGCATCTGTAGTTGCCACAGTTTTGGAGGCTGAAATAGCCTGAAAGGCAGTTTTGCAAGTGAAATTTTGTGGCATCTTTGATGGTGGCAGCTCTGGGCTTTCCATATGCATAAGAATCTGATGTGGATACTCAGTAGAATACCTTTCAGCTTCTCCATTTTAGGGTTCTTTTGCTCAACGAGCAGCCTTCCAGTGAATCAATAGCATGATTTATAAGTTGTATCTCCTTATTCTTGTATCCACTTGACCCTAAGGATGTTACCACACCTTTACCAGGTTAAACAGGTACATTACAGGCTGCTGTTCTATGACCTGTCTCCTCTACTTTACCACCTCCTTTCCAATCCATCCTGTTCTCTCAGGCTGGCAGAGATCATCAAGTTAACTGGCTAAACAGATGTCACAGGGAGAACAGAATGACAGTGTTCTCATCCCAGGGGATGCTCCTTCCCCATTCTCTTATGTTGTTTCCCTGAAGTCATTCTTCACGTTTGGCATTTTTCTTCTCTCCCACACAGCACCTTATTGCTATTGCATATGCTATGCCTTATTTCCTTCTTGCTAACTTTCATTATGTGATTCATTCAGAATTTTTGGGACACGCTCACTTGCAAGTGAACTTTAGTTTTCTAAGTCATCTGGCAATAGAGTGAAAATGAGTTGTTAAGTCATGGAATCGAGGACCTCTGTGATTCATGTTATGTACACTTCAGTAGCTTGGGCATAATAAGTGATTGCTGACCAGAAGCAGTCTCCTCAAATAGCTTCTACTTATTATAGACAAGTTGTCCACAATAAAATATTGTTCAGTACAAAAATACATAGTGAACTTTAATTTCCCTATTTAAATACATAAAACATGTGCCTCTTAGAAGTCTGTGATGATAGTACCTTAACTCCAAATAATTATCTGTATATAATTCCATGATCATCTGCACTGTACCTATGATAGATTGCTTTGTCCCTATTGGCTACAGAGGCTATCAAAACCATTAAAGTCTGAGACACCCAAGATCTCCTCTCAGAATCTTGAGTTTCAACCATTTGGAGAAATATATTTATAGTGCAAACAAGTGATGCCTGAAAGCTTACATTACTTAATTTTATGGAACCCTTATTTGTTTGATGTGGATACGATTGATATGTGTGATGGCTCTATTGCAGCTATTTGCTGGTTGTAGTTTTTACCTACATGTAAATTAGGAAAACTTAGCATGTAGAATCAAATAAGTTATGCTGGCCTTCAGAGAACATAGGCAGAACTGGAATTTAGACAAAATTCACACATGCACAAACTAAGAGTGATAGGATGATTCCAAACTAATATTCGTGCAATGGACCTCTGATCAAAAACTATTGGATTTTAGCAAATATATATTCTATCTGCTGAGACAGAGTATATATTTGCATGAAAAAATAAATAACCTAAACCCAAATTTTGCAGCAGTTAAAGATTTTGTAATAAGAAGAACTAATTGTGGATTTTTAGTTTATTTTAAATTCCCAGTTTAAAGTGAATTGTCTTCATAGTCTAATGCCTAAGAGTGCCTTCATTGATCAAACCAACTGAACAAGGAATACAATCAGAGAGAGTGAATAAGAAACAAGTAGCCCATACTTTTCCTACCTGGCCCTTTTATAAAAATAACCAGGTGAA